TACAGCTTGCATTATGGATTGCATCTCAATATAAAGAAAACAAAAATCTGCACAACTGGACCAATACATAATATCATGATAGAGAGGGAAAAGACTGACGTTATCAAAGACTTCACTTTGCTTGGCTCCACAATCCATGCTCATGGAATCAGTAGTCAAGAAATAAAATGATATACTGCACTAGGCAAACCTGCTACAAAAAAAATCTTTTTTTAAAGTGCTAAAGAGCAAAGATACCACTTAGAGAATTAAGATGTACCTGGGCCAAGCCTTGGTTTTTTCAATGGCCTCATATACATGTAAAATTGGACAATGAATAAGAAAGACTATAGAATAATTGATGCATTTTAATTATGGCACTGGAGATGAATTCTAAAAACACCACGGACTGCCAGAAGAACAAGCAAATCTGTACTAGAAGGAAGTACAGCCAGAATGCTCCTTAAAGCCAGGATGGTGAGACTTCAAATCTCGTACTTTGCACATGTTGTCAGGAGGAACCAGTCCCTGGAGAAAGGCATAAAGCTTGGTAAAGAGGAGAGTCATGGTAAAAGAGGAGACATCCAAGGAGATGGACTGACATAGTGACAGCAACAATGAACTCAAACATAACAATTGTGAGGAAGCCACAGCACCTGGCAGGGTTTCATTGTGTTGTTCGTAGGGTCACTATGAGATAGAAGCAATTCAGTGGCACCTAAAAACAACAAAATAATGCTGGAGGAAATATACACAAGAACAACATTTTTAGAGGGCAATTTGGCAGAATGTGTCAAAATTTTAAATGTGAACATATTTTCAACCCAACAATTGTCCTTCTCTCTATCTTAGGTACATCATGAATAAGGCTGCTATAAGCAAGGCAAAAATGGATGGATCTGTTTACAGATTTCTATGCAACAGTTTTTGAGTTTTTAAAAAAAAATTTTATGTGTCCTAACATAACAGGGCTTCAAAGGCTTTTAAATTATTTTTTAAAGAAAACTTTAAGAATTTATGCTAAAAAGAAAAACATAAATAAACCAATAGCAGCAAATTACCTTCTGAGGAAGAAGCTGGAGTATGAAGAAGTAATCAAGGGGTCCTTGAACTTTTATCATTTAAATATTTTACAATACGAAAATGTTCATTTGTATAGATTTTAATGAAAACACAAAATATGCTTGTAAAATAAAGATAAATAAACACAGATAAGTAATTAAAATAGGGAATATATTCTTCTTCCCACTCCCACTCAACACTCAGAAAAATCCAGCTAACTTCAATAGTTTGTAAACTATTCTATGAAACCATTCTCAATATTACTTGGAACTTATAGAAGGCGGCTTCAAAAAGCTTATGGAAAAATTGAATTAAAAGGTAATGTCCCATAAACTTTTGGAAACCTCTTGTATGTATGCAAACAGATGTGTGTTTACATATGTAGGCATACATATTTGTATGTACACATTATATATGCATACATGCATATAAACATATTTCAAATATTAGATGGTTTTATCACAGCAAAAATTACATACACTAGGATAACAGATAAATTCCATCATATCAAATAAAAGAAATATTTAGCTACTACAAACAGTGAGGTTGTGGGTTAGGATTTGGATAGAAGTATTGTAGTAAGGGAGTCCTGGCATGGCACTGTAGGCACTGAACTGCTAGCCAAAAGGTTGGCAGTTCAAATTTATAGGATTGCTGAGTCAGAACTGACTGGAAAACACTTAACAGTAACAATACTGTGGTAAAAGTGATATTTTCCCTTGTGTTATTAAAATTTTCTATGATGTCAATATATAATGTCAACAGGGACTTAAAATCAAATTAAAGAATGTCTTCTGAAAAAACAGGGCCAAGAATATAAAGCACTACACAAACGCAAGGCTTCAGGATTGTTTGCACATGAAGACAATAAGACAAGCTCACATTTCATATATCATCACTTACCGATTCCACTGTCATCTAATCGCATGTAGCCTTCTGCCAGTGAGCTGAAGCCAGTTAATCCTCCCATTGCTGCATATGGAACATCCCGTCCTACTGGTTTACCCTGAGCCAGTCTTTCTTGCTTTGTTTCCACTACTGTTTCATGGGTATATGCAGGCTGGCCACAAGCGCAAGTGAAGCAGCTGTGAAATCCTGAACACTTGGAACCTGAATCAAGATGTAAAGGAGTTAATCTTTTGAAAATGTACAGAAGTGTCTTCTCTAAAGACTCTTGGCTTGGCCAAAGTCACTGGAAGAATCCCTGATATTCTGTCTTCTGTCACTCTTATACTCTTACTGCCACTGCTTTTACTTCTGGAAACTGAAAATGAGTAAGAGGGCTATGTGACATAAGAAATACACATGTATTTTTTTCAAAAACCAACTAGGACTCATCCAACTCACAGTAACCCTATAGGACTGAGTAGAACTGTTCCTAAGAGTTTCCGATACTATAAGTCTTTACAGGAACAGATAGTCTCATCTTTCTCCTATAGAGCGCCTGGTGGAGGTGAGCCCCTGACCTTGTAGTTAACAGTCCAACACTTCACCCACTGTGCCACCAGGGCTCCTTAGAATTAAAAGCAGTTAAGTTCATCACTGCAGAGCCTCTCTGGAAATTCAGGCCCTCTCCTCAAATACTGACTTATAAGCAGGCATGGCAAAGGGACCAGCCAGTAGCCAGGACCAGGTGAAGAGAACATGTGGAAACCTCCCTGTGGATCAGCTCCCCATAAAAGCTACACTGGAGGAACAAACAAGATGGCAGATCGGGTGGACGTGTAGTACAGAGCTCCACCAACAACAACACGGAATACCCGACCAAGCAGGCTCAGAGGATGGTCCCAGAACTCTGAACCACATATAAAGGAATACTTAAAAGGTTGGAAGGCTCACAGCTGGGGGAATTTGTGGCCAAAGCAAGAAATCTATTGCTTTCTAGTCCGGGATTCTCGGCTAGAAGAAGCCTGAAGCCACCATATTGGGTGAGACCACTTGG